GGGGGGAGAGCGGGGGACATGAGCACATGCCCCCTGGAAATATCTTGGTGAGGATTAGGGAGATCAACAGGGACATGGCCAAGTGCAGAAGCACACACACATTCATCTCATCTGAATTTCCCAATCTGAGGATGCCAGGACTTGGTGCCTCTGGTCACAAAATGAGCTGAGTAAGTGTTCAGGAGGTGGAGAGATAGATACACAAATAGTCAGGTGGATGAAGAATAATGGATGATTGATAAGAGGTTGAAGGGACAGATAGGCAGGTGAGTGAACAGCCAGCCATGGGACCGGTGGAAAGAGTAAAAGGCTTAGAAGAAAAACCAGCTAGAAGAATTGAATTGGTATTCTAGCAAAAAAAATGAGTATCCCCAGTGAGTGAGAACACCCACAACAGGCCTGCCTATTGCGAGAGCTGGGGTGAGAAGACACTCATGGGCCTTTCCATTTGACAGGAGAGTTGTGATCTACGACATTCCCTCACTTTCTTTACCAGAATGAAGGGCAGGGCAGAGTGAGGCCCCAGGAGAGCGCTCACCTCTGTGCCTCACTTTCCTTTTCCTGGCAATGGAGCCGGAGGATCCTCAGGGTCTCTGCAGGGAAAGGAACCATCAAGGCATCAGGTTTGTGGAGAGGTAACGGGGTTCCATCATGTGGAGTCTCATGGACACGTGGTAGGACTTTGTCATTTGCTACAAATCGGGCGGAAGCCACAGGAGGGATGCCAGCTGGTTCAGAGGCTCCGGTGCCTACAGGAGTGAGCTTCCGCAGGGGCGAAGGCAGAAGCCAGGGGCAGCGTAGCTGTCGTTACCTTGCTTTTTACTCAAGATCTCTTTCAGGCGCACTTTCTCTCCACTCACTGGAAAACACAGCAACAGGTTCAGGTATCAGGCACCACCCACTGTACCCTCAGGGACACGAGCAGTTTGGTACAGCACTCCTTCGAAAACAAATGTGGGCCCCTCAAGGCAAACCCCCTCCCTTCTTGTGCCCACACTCCCTGTGAGCACCAAGGGCGCTGATGTGATACAGGGTGACTGACCGGAGGACCCTGTGGAATGCAGGCGTGTTTATATGGAGGGAAGAGAAAAAGGAAACACATCATCTGAAATGGGTCAAGACTGTGAGGAAACACGTCAAGCAGGAAGGGGCATGTAATCAGGTGGCACAGGGTGCTGTCTTTGGACGGGATGACTGGGGAGGGTCTCTTTGAGAATGGAAATCTGAGCTAGAGATAATGATGATGTGAAGCAATGGGAACCGATATTATCTGGGGGGAACAGCCTAGCAAAGGCCGTGAGGTGGAAGCATGCTTGGAGGGTGTTTGGGGAATACTCCTACCCACAGTAGGCAAGGAGGAGTTTGGTCGGCTAGGACCTGAGGCTGGAGAGGGGGCAGGGGCCCTTGGCCACAGTGCACATGCTCAGTGCCTGGACTA